AGACAACTTGAACGGTTTATATAAAGTAATCGCCTGTAATTTGAGACTTGTTTAATTAATTTCAAATTATTAAGATCTATACAATGTTCTTTATCAACAATATGTTCGGCAACGCAAGATTTATCCGGTCTACCATATCTTATCTGAGCTAAATATTATTTAAATCTAGTTAATATTGATCTTCTAGTTTGCCCAACATATTTCTGATTACAATCTCTACAAGAAATTTCATAAATACCCGACCTTTCCAGTAGAGTTGTTTTATCCTTTGGATTGGTTTGGTAACAACACGATATTATACAAAATTATGACTGACATTATGATCGCGGCACAATATGACCAACATGGTTTTAAAAAAATCGCTTTAAGTTTATTTTTACATCTTTAATCTAAATAAAATATCTGTTACAATCATTTGTTCTATAAAGTAAAATGAAAATCGCTGCTCGGTATCTTAAATTATCCAACAAATTTAAATGTTTTTGCCAAAATTTTATTTAGTCAGGTTTATAGGCTTTAGTCTTCAATTTCGATATGATTGATGACGTGCATCGGAAAATGTTTTGCGGTTACCGTAGGTTCTTTACTGTAGTATTTAGATTTTTATACAAGTAGTTGTTTTAGATCAATTGAACGTGGGGACAACAATAGACTTGCACCGATAAGTCAAACGTGCTGTGGAAAACAGGTGGTCTAGAAATCAATTGTTTTTCGTCGCTATACAGTATCTATGTGTATTTTCTACGAAACGTCATAATAATAGCCGATGGCCTTGATCTAAAACTATGTCGAAATAATTGTATATAATGCATAATTCCCATTTACGTAAAGGTAAATAAATAGAATTCCGCCAGCTACTTCCTCGATCGGTATGCTGCGAACCATTTTGTTTTAACAAACAATTCTGTCGGCGGCAGATAAAAACCGTCACAGTTCGATTGTTTTCAATGGGGGGCACGAAAATTTTCTCCCATTGTGCTAAACGGAAAATATTGGGAACGTGTTTATGCAGATTTGATTGTTTAGCGAATTCGAATAGTGATAATTAGAGTTGTACGTCGTTAATTTCGAAAACTAGTTTCTTACGTATTAAGGAAATGCAGTGACCCAAGAGATAGCATTTTTTTTAGTTTTTCGTTATTAATTGGATTTTAATTGACACTTGTCATTTCTACAGTGTGTTTCAGGTTGGTTGCAATTAGGGTGTCTTCGTCCAATTTCCGGGATCGGGATCCCGTTTTGAAATCCCAGGATTAGAACCTATAATCCCAGGATCAGAATGGCAAATTTAATTTAAAGAAATATTTAATAAAAATTCAGCTACATACCGGGTGCGTCTCAAAAGTGGCTCACCCCTTCAACTTTTTATTTTTTTATATGTTAGTATATGACATAAATTAGGATGGATTGACGTATTCAATTGTTTTTGGTCACTTCCTGTTTCACCGGAAATGACTACAACTACTGATTTTTAAATGGCACCCTCGGAATATTTTAACTTTATTCGATAGAAAATATCACTCTAAATAGAATGACGTATCATATGTCAACTTTTCACATTTTCGCTTAAAAAAGTCTTTTTAAATTTCAATCTAGTGTGCCATGGCTGTGTTAAAAACAATAATTTTTAATCAAGGAGCCTTGAAAAATAGATTTGATTGTCTAATGTTTTCGTGTCTTGTCCTGGCCTTTTAACAGATGCTGAAATCGTATATCTAATTGTATGTCATTTTTTTCAAATAGAACGAGGGTGACTCATTAGCATATTTGGAAAAAGCATTTTTTACCAATAATTTGATACCATACACTTGGTATTTCGAGTCAAATTATCGTTATGAACCGCATGTTACAATTTCAAATAAACCGAGCGAAAATGTCAAAAGTTGACATAGGATATGTCATTCTATCAGTACATCATTTTCTATCGAATAAAGTAAAAATATACTGAGGGTGCCATTTAAAAATCAAAAGTTGTAGTCATTTCCGGTGAAACAGGACTGTACAAAAATGCAAGACTTGGACGACTTATTAACTGCAAGACCAAGATCAAGGAGGAAAAAAATAAAATTATCTTTGAAACTGCGTTTGAATAAACTAAATATGTGTTTAATCAGTATCACTGATTAGTAAAATATGCTAGAAAGGTTTTCAATAAACACACTGCTATTTAAAGTTGTTGACAACCAACACTAACCTTAGTCAAAGTTATATTTGTAGGTAGTTTACTTATATTAATGTTTACTAACTTATGAACATATTTACTATTTACTATTCATATTATAATTATTTGCTTACTTGAGGAATGAACATAAATATCCAGTAATGTTACTTTTAATCGTTCTGTTTTTTTTTTGTTTCTTTCATGTCAAAGTATTTATGATAAACCATATTCCATTATTATCTCAAAAGATAACAAAATAATGTAATTAGTTGATCTGATTAAAATCTGTGATACACACGCCAAAAAAAAACACGTCAAAGTTGGCTTTGGAAATGAAGATCGCGGTTATTTTATAATATATGTAAAATATAGCAAATGTTATCGATCGTCATTTCCAAGCCATTCCAGCTCTACTTTTCTTGTTATCTTTTTATTAAGAATTATTTTTTTTAATGAATATCATATATATTTTTAGAATTTATGGTTAATTTGTTAAAACTTTTCTAATCATTTTAATTCTCACTATACTCTTTCCTAGTAAGATTATTTTACTATCTTTTTATCAAGTCGTTAAATTTGGTTTTATGACTTAATACCATTTTCGTATATTGAATTATATATTAATAGTAATAATAATATTAAAATTGATTTCAAAATGAGTATAGTCCTTTTCATAAGACATACAGATTTTCAAGGGGTGTTCCATGATCAAATTAACTAAATACACTACGCAGTATTCAAATGATAAATATAGTATTGCCTGAACTTAATATCAATAGTAGTTTCCGGTCAATTTAATTTTAAAATAGGAAGTAGTAATCATTTTTTGTAATGATTTGTTGTTGTTTTAAAACGTCATCTATCGAAAATTACCTCGTATATTAAGTTTAATTATTTGTTAGGTTGTATAAGTATTATATAACTTTTTCGTTTTGCGTTCTGCTTGATTGTGTGTTAATAAAATAAAGACAATACAAATTGAAGAACGGGATATTTTATATTTATACAGGGTGTAGGCAGCTTAACTGCGAAAAAATTTGAGAGGCCAAAATTGGTTTTGTCCTTTCCTATGAAGTTATTTGTATATGTTACAGTGAAAGTCGGAAATTCAGTGATTGTTAACATTCACTAGGAAATGCTAACAATTACAGTTTGGACCAGTGAATTACAATTTGGACCAGTTTGAAGCACCAAACCAAATGCAACGTTTATATTCTAATTTGTTATGATCTACAACAGTTAGGTAGTAATTGAGACAAATTATAATTCAATTACCGGCTACTACGTTCTTGTTTTAATAGATCAAAATTCAACAAATATAATTAGAAATTATTTTAATTTTGCGAGGCTCCCTTGTGGGACGCCTATGTACTATTACGGCGGAAACAATACCTACCTGTGAAAAGACAAATTCGGGTAATTTGAGCTTATTTTTTCACACATTTGACGCTGTCCTACCATATTGAACATTCGCAGATTCAAAAGTACGTTAAACAAAAACAAAAACTACTGAAAACCACTGAAAAGTTAATTTCGGCCTTGATTCCGACTTCAAACACACCGTAAGCTAAACGTAGTACGCTATAACGGACCATGGGCCGTCGCGAGGGACGGACGGCTCATTTCATTCTGGAAGACTAGCATCGACGTTGCCAATAGTTCTAGACGTTTCAGCACATTAAACAGCAATCATGTCCTTTAATAGTAATGCATATATCCTCTGGTTAATAACATATTATTACGCATGCTTCTTTAAAAATAAACTATTAATTTAATTAAGAAATTGAGATTTATTGATATACGGTGAAGGTTTTAAAGTCACCTTTTCTGCAAATCAAACTTAAGTAGATAGGCGCAAATTTGAGATGTGGCAATGTCGCCTTCTCTATTTCAGTTGGTTTTTACAGTACGTAGTCAACCTCCGATTGTTTGATCGGGTTAAAATGCACAATGTAATATCTGTTCTTAGCCACACCCAAAATTCCAAACACACGTGCTTTGATTAAGGCTTGATTAAAGTTTGCAGAGCTTCAGCATTTGCCATAAAATAGCGAGCAATTTGTTACAAAAGCATATAAATTATATATCACTGTAATCACAAAACTTCAATCTATTTCCGTATTGTAACGGAATTTTAAATTATGTCTTTATTTTCGAGAAAATTTAGTCCAAACATAAGGAATATTTTGTTGATGTTTAACCATCAAAATCTTAAAAATAAAGAAGTTGCCTAAAAATCTTCTACAATACGGATATAGGATAATCCTTTATCTTTAATTTCCTTCTTCATTTGTGTAAAAATACCTAGCCAGTTTGACATAAAAGGCTAAATACCGAACGCTTATTTTGCTACTTTTTCGAACAAGTGAAATGGACTCTTATGCTACAAACTAGTCAACTAGTCATGTTAACCGTAATCTATTAAATGTTTTTAAAAAATGCTACTTTTTCTCAGTGTATCAGAAACATTTTGACGAAACATATTCGAATATATTGTTGTTAATTATAACAACAAACGCTCGCTGGCTAATCACTGTCACGATAAGACAGTGATATTAGTCGACGAGGTACCGACTGAAATTACACGGTGGCTTAACCCAAGTCGTACCCGTGAATCATTTTCATTAAAGTGTTTTTTTTCCTCGTTCCCAATCAAGCAGTCGCTTTGGAAATGCGTGATGTGACAGTACGCGCTACGTTCGTTTGTTTTTGCGATGAGATTGTAAGTGGTGCGGATGGTGCGGGTTGCATGATTAGATAATTGCTTATTAGCATTGCTACGCATATATTGTTGATTTGAGTTGGCCGTGATAATACTGTTGTGTTTTTTTCCTTTCAGCAGCCCACATGGCGGCTTTGGGGCGAGGAAAAAGCGGACGGCGCCCTCTACACGGTTTACCTCAAGAAAGTGCGTTACCATCGGCCTACCAGAAGCCTTTCGTCCTCCCATTCGGTAAGATTTGATGTCATGTGATAACACTACCTATAATGTATTTAGAATTTTACTTAGAATTTGCTATTAACTTTACAAATGAAGCATCCATGGGAAAAACACGATAAGCGCCAGTAATTTTAGTGTTTTTTACAACATTATAGTAAGTCTTAACTGATCCCTACAAAATGTATAAACTCTGCAGGGCAATAATATGATATAGATGCTTGAAGTAAAATATACATACAGGGAAAGAACCTGATAACAACTGATAAAAAAAATTGAGACTCTAAATATTAAAAAAAAAATATTTTTTTTTATACAGGATGGTCCGAACCGTATTCCCGAAACTTCCTCTGCTATAAATAGTAAAAATAAGTAAAAAAGTTCGTATAAAGGTATGTTCAGTTTCATTTTTATTTCGATTTTTTTCAAATAATTTCTCAAATATTTGGATGAAAATTGGCGTAGGGAGTTTTTTGACATAAGAAATTTGATTTTGAGGTCGATATTATTCCTATTTGTAAGGGGCGCCACCTACATGTGTTTTAACTGTTTTGAAGAGTAATACCTTTTCTCTCATCTGTATCCATATAAAAGTACTGAGTGAAAAATATATAATTTTCCGTGATTTTTTACATAAAAAATGTCTATTGGTAAAAATCGCTACGAGCATCTGTTCTCAAGATATTTGGGATGGAAATAATCAATATATATGTCATTTCTGACAAAAAAAAACACATGTTAAGTAGATAGTTATATGACTGAATAAATGATGAAGTGTAGGAACTTTTTATTTTTTTAAATTAAGCATAAATTTTTCTTTATAAACATATTCATGTCATAAAACAGTTTCTGTTTAACTTTTGGTACAAAAACATTTCAATATGTCAATGATGATAGGTATTGATAATTTAGATTCCAAATATCTTGAGAACCATTACTCGTAGCGATTTTTACCAAGATACCTTTTTTACGTAAAAAATGTCGTAAATGTATATTTTTTTAATCAGAAGTTTTATACAGGTACGGCCGAAAAGTTATTACTCTTCAAACCTGTTAAAAAATATGTAGGTGGCGCCCCCTACAAGTAGGAGTCATATTGACATCAAAATCAAATTTCTCATGTCAAAAAACTCTCAGACACAAATTTTCATCCAAATATTGACGTTACTTCCGTAATTATTTGGAAAAAATCGAATTAAAAATGAAACTTCTACACCCTGTATCTCCAAAACTAAGCATTTTAGGACATACAGTTATACGTACTTTTTTAATTATTTTTATCTACAGAATATGCTGCCGAAGTTTCCGGAATACAGTTCCGACCACCCTTTATATTCATATTTTTTAATATACAGGTTGTTACTTTGTTTATTACCAGCGGCAAGAGCTGTATGGTTGAAATATGGCAACCTCGGCCCGCTCGTCGAGAGACAACGCGACGGGATGACTCGGTTTTGGAATGTAGGCAGTGTTGCCATTCTGTTCCCCAATAAGTAACCGTCCAGTTAACAATTTATATGTATACCAGGCCTGATGTATACCATACGATCGAAAAAAACGACATCAGCAATGGCTATGAAATGAAGATCGCTGTCATTTTATAAGTAAAATTATATGGGGAATGTCATCGATCGTCATTTCCAAGCCAACTGGACGCCGTTTTTTTTTTCGATCATACGGTACTAGGACGATTCCACTTTATTTTGCCAGATAATGTAAACAGATATATACGAATATAAATCGTATTCCGTTTTCACGGTAGTCGGTAGGTGTGCATTACATAATGTTACTGTTAAAGTTATTAAGCGTTAATTAGTTTTAATTTGTTTCCTAATTGGCTTCTTCAAACTGGATTACAGCGTTTTAACTCGAAGAACTCATAAAATAATTCTCCTTATTTATTAAGACTTTTATAGCAGTTTTACAGAATCAATTGGAGTAATTATAATATAAAATTTAATTTTAATATTAAATTTACGTTTAGAAATATTTATTTTAACATACAGCGTGTGTGTGTCTAAATCACATGTATTTAAATTCTATTACTATTAAATAACATAACACTGGAAATAGTAGAAGAATATATTCTTCACCACACTATGTCATTTAATAGTAACAAAAATTTTTCTCATAGATTTTAAGTGTTCTAAGTTAACTCACTAAAATTTGTTGTAAGTCTCATATTCAAAGCCAGAGATATAGTTCATCGAAATTCATCAGCGGTCACTGTTTTAATCTTAAAATTATATTTTTGTTGCGCTCATCAATTTTATGTTTATGAAATTATTATTGCAGGATTCAGACGACGAGATTTCCCACCTAGAATGGGAAACTGTGAGGGTGCGATTCGTCAAGGCCGGCACTTTGAGGAAGTTAGTGGAGGCTCTTTCCACCGACGACGGAGAGTTGGAGACCACCTACATCAATGTGTTCCTGGCTACGTATCGTAGCTTTTCCACCGCCAAGGAAGTACTGAAACTGTTGCTGGAGCGGTACGAAGAATTGTGCGAATCGTCGCAGAACGGACGGACAGAACAACTGGAACAGCACAAAAAGTAAGAAATCTCAGATACATTTTTGTTTCAAGCCTAACTTATTATTCAATCACTATTCAATCACAGCCTATTCATTAGACAGCCAGTCGACTTAAAATCGTTTACATGGAATTTTGTGTACCCATCTTTAGATATTCGCTAATCTTTTGTAGCCATCTTGTGACTGGTGCTCTGAGTGCCTGCATGTGTACGAAAACAGGCGCTGTTCAACAAAACTGTCCACATATTGACACCTCTGTTGATTTTACAGCAAAGTCGTAAATAGAGTTTTTAAAGATCTGAATACACATGCCAAATTTAAACAATTTGGAACAAGCCGTAAAGTAATTTAAGAAAAACTGCATCTATTTTTAAATTGGAACTAAAATGCAAAACCAGGCAAATGCCAGCATACCTTAAGTTGTCAACCTATGATTTTGCAATAATCAAATAATAAATAATAGTTAGGCTTTTCTAATTTGAACAAGTTTTAAATTTCAAAGTATATTTCGACGTCACTAACCGAGGTATAACGTCGTAGTGTAGACAGCACAACTCTTAACATCATAGACAGCACACTTGTAATGTGTGGCATCATTGGTACAAGTATACGGGTCCTACAGTCAAAGTCAAACTCAAAACTCAAAAAAAAAAACACAGGGGATATCTTTGAATAAGAAGACTAAGGAAAGAGCATAATGCTATCCATGTATTCATGCATGGTGGGCGGAAAAAGGACTGGTGGGGATCCTTGACAGTTCTGTTTGACGATTCATTTGACATATTTGAATTTGATTTGAAATTTTGTGGATTTGTCAGTCTTCACGGAGCTTATTTTATGTTATTTATTATTTATTCTACTACTGATAGTTGTATAAAGGTAGTAAATCTAGATGGAAATTGTAGCAAAACTTAAATTAACAGTGACACTATCGCGATTTATCGAAAAAGACTCTAAAATAGTTGGTTGTGTAGCGTGCGGTAGATCTCGGCAAAAATCGGGTGAAATAATGGAACAACTTTTCGCTAGTAAGTGACTATATAATATACATACGTGTAGTAGACCGATCATTTATGAAATTTACTTAAATTAACTAATTATATATTTTTTCTTGCATTTTTGCTTTTATTTACTACTTGTCAAAGATTAGATGTCAAAGAATTTAGATACGTCAATTTGACTTACCTGCTTCAGTAGCGTATCGGATGTTTGTGTTAATAAATAATTATTAAAACTTATCTATTCTTATTATAATAATATGTTTTTATAACAATTTTAATAACTACCAACATTTATCCACAACGTAAAATAAAAAAAAATATTGAGTCTACCCCACGTCTACCCCACGTCTACCCTACATCATAGTTTTACATTTTTTAAATAAAATTAGAACGGCACTGATAAACCGGAATTTAAGTCGGCCATATTTGAGTCCCATCGCGGTGGACCTAAGATTTTTGATATGCTCCTTCCTTAGTCTTCTTATTCAAAGGGGGTTATATAACTGTCACTGGGAAACACTGGATCATATTCCCCAGTGGAACAGTAGTTTATTTTTTAATGCATATACAGTGTGATTTAAGTATATTTTTTTATTAAAGTTGTAGGTTTGTAAATGAAAATTTACAAACCTACAATAAACCTGATTTTGCTCATAATTGATTGATAAAATATTGTTTTCTCTTGCCTTTTAATAGCAAATGTCAGTATGTTATAAGATTAGGTTAAGGAATGAAAAAACATATGCAGTGAAGTAATAAAAAGTAATATGCTTTAGTACAGTTCAAAAGACTCATAATATATACAAAATAAAAAAATACTGGTTTACATGGCAAAGTTTGATAAAATTCGTCAAACTTTTCGTAAAATGGAATATTCAAAATCACAGAAAGATATTTAAATTTTATTGATATGTTTACGTGTGTAGAATTCTCTGAAAAAGACCATTCCCTGTCAATGACCCGTCAAAATAGATTCAGTCGATTTGCGGATTAGCCAAGACAAACAAAACACTAAAACAGGGTTTTATGTTTTGGGGTTTTCCCAAATAGCTTTATATCGAAATCACAGTTTTATCGGTAATTTTATTCATAGAGTTATAACGTTTTAAAAAGAATGAAGCGAAGTTTTTTATAATCAGTTAACTAATACTATTAAGATTGTAACTTTTAGTCTTAACTATCTTTTAGTTTTAACTATCAAACTAAATTAGCATTATCATCAATAAAATTACTATAGTTTAAATGATCTCTTGATTGTAGTAATTTGATTAGCAATTCCAGATTTTAAAATAAAGTGTTTTGGCGTATTGTAATAAATTAGTGCCATTTCACTGTTGTAATATAAAAGGTACAACATCAATTGTATTTTATAATGTACAAGTCAAATATTTCAGCACTTATATTCTTAAATAACAATATTAATTTTTATTTAACTATTTAATGATTTCAGGACACTTATTTCTGCTCTTCACGTTTGGCTGGACAGTTACCCGGAAGATTTTAAAGATCCGCCTAACTATTCAGCTCTTCGTCTGTTACTCAACTTCTGTGAAGATTTTCTGCCTAATACGGAGCTCGACGCCAAAGTACGACACAGGATCGACAGGTAAGACATTAGAAATTTAGTTTTTCCAATTTTTCAGTTGTGAATAAAAATGATTATTTATTCATAACTTAATGCTGAATGATCCAACTCTTCTACCGTTCTCATCTTTAAATATATTTTTGGTTTGTCCATGTGTATTCCTTGTTTTCGTTTTGTTCCTAGATATTTATATTTATTTATTTCTTTTCAACTCATTTGCTTTTTCATTTATGTCTTTTGTTGTTGGTGTGATTTTTTATATAAATTTTACGGCAACCTTGATTTGTTTTCGTTACTGGAGTATATATTTTTATCATCACTAATTTGCAAATTTTTGTTTTGACTAGTTTACAATATTTTCTTTTTTTCCAGATATACCAGAGAAGCACATGTGGATCCCCTCTTAACTCCACCTCCGGCTTTTGCTATGAGGTCCATAGCTTCAGCTGGATGGAGATGTTACAAGTTACCAGATATCCCAGTCAGGCACTTTGCCGAACAGCTTACCAGAATGGATGTGGTAAGTTGCAAGGAAGGTTTTCTTCTCATTGATTTAATTATTAACCATTTCTTGTTTTTGCAGGATTTATTTAAGAAACTAGTACCTCACCAGTGTTTAGGAGGTGTGTGGTCCAGACGAGATCGCAGCAGATCTCACGAAGCCGCCACTGTATTAGCCACTGTCAACCAATTTAACGCTGTGTCTTTTAGGTACTGAATACTTTAAATACCGTACGATCGAAAAAAACGGCGTCAAAGACGGATCATGGGATTGACAATCGACGATAATTTTGGCAAGGTCAAGCTCTAGACGTTTACTTGACACGTACTCTTCTTTATCTTTTAATTGCGCTTACTGCCAATTGGCCTTAACGAGGTTGTAACTTATTTTTATATTGAGTAAAATGATTTTTAAACGGTGTAGTTTAAAATTCGAGAAAAAATAGCTGTTTAGAAATATATTTATGTCGTTTTGTCCTTTTTTAATATTTCTCTAATTATTGTTAATGTTTGACTAGTTCTCGTCAAAATTATTATGGGTTGTCATACTCTAGCCGTCTTTGATGCCATTTTTTTATCATACAGTACCATTACTATAAGACTGTGATAATGTGCTTTATTTCCAGGGTTATATCATCTATTTTAGTGGAACCGTGTCTCAGAACTCACGATAGAGCGTCTCTAATCGTTTGTTGGATAGATATAGCTCAGGAGCTAAGACTTATTAAGAATTTCAGTAGTTTGAAGGCCATTATAAGTGGTTTACAGAGCAATCCAATATATAGGTAAGTCTAAAAATTGATTCTAGGAGGAGTTTGATAACCGCTTTTCTAAGTGTTTCTCGTTCAACGTGAAAGAGTTGTCATACCCTTAAATTACAGTACTTTTTCTTAATTTCCAAGGCTTTTATCAAAAAATGGACTAACTGACACAAATTATTTTGTACTGTACAAAATATAAATTAAAATATGCATTAAATTATCAGATCCAGTAAAGCTAATCATGTTAGCATAAGTTGTTAGATATTATTTGAAGTCATTATATTAAGATTCTTTTTAGTGAATTGAATCACACGATTCAATTTCTCATATTGAATCGAGTCCTGCGATTCGTTCATTTGAACGAACCACATGCACAATTTACCGTGCTAACCACGATTCAGTTGAACGAACCGTATTCTAAGCAGTGAATCGAATCTCACGATTCATTTTTAATACTCGTTCAAGTGAACAACTCGTTTAATTTTTGCCCACCTCTACTATATACGTCCTAGATCCTTGTGACATTTTAGTTTTGCATATAAACAAAATTTCTATTATTTTTATTATCTAGAGATATCTTAGTTACAGTTGTTATTGTTATTGTAATGAATTATTTCTATTTTAGACTTCAAAAAACTTGGCAAGCAATTTCAAGAGAGAAAATTGAACTCTTCGACGAACTTGCTAGGATTTTCAGTGAAGACAACAACCAACTAGCCCAGAGAGAGTTATTAATGAAAGAGGGAACTGCCAAATTTGCTGGTAAGTTTTTAGGTATCGACGAAAACTGAAGAATATTTAATTTTTTACATCTAATTGTTACAGATACTGTTGGTGAAAACGACAAACAACTTCAGAAAATTTTTCAAAAACAAAACAACCATACCGCTAATATTTCGTTCGGAACTATACCCTATTTAGGAACCTTTTTGACTGATCTTACCATGATAGATACAGCTATACCTGATATTATAGGCGATGGATTGATTAACTTTGATAAAAGAAGGAAAGAGTTTGAAGTCCTTGCCCAAATCAAACTTCTACAGGTAAATTTGAACATATTTACTGTTTGAGTTTATTTTTTAATCATTTTTTTTGTTAGGGTGCTGCCAATGCTTACCATTTTATTGAAGATGCAGCGTTCGATAGGTGGTTTGACTCAATCTTAGTGCTAGATGATCGCGAAGCTTATCAACTTAGCTGTCAAATTGAACCTCCAACTGGTGGACCAAATAGAAAAGATAGGTTAGTTAGAACTATACTCCTTCCACCCACTGCCATTACTCGCTGACGAGTATTTGACACGCATCAGAAGATGGTCACGCAAGGGGTTTTCTTTCATGAGCTTTTCTGTGACTGAAAAGCCCGATACGTGATGTTATTTGTCTACCGCACTCCGGACATTCAAAAATCTCAGTGCTCTGTTGCCTCCTCACTTTTTGGTTGACGCTGTTAACTGAGTTTACAACTCTTCTCCATTCCGTTCTATTGTGAGCTGCTTCTTGCCACTCATTCTGCTTGTTAATCCCCTTTAAGTTTTCGTGGAAAATATCCTTATACCTTTTGTGTTGTCAACCCGGCCTCCTCCTACCGTCTACAAGCTCACCGTAAAGTAGAGATTTTGGTATGCGGTTTTCTTGCATTCTGCATACATGACCAGCCCATCTTAAGCGGGACTTTGTAATCATGACTTCAATACTCTCGCAGTTAGCTTTTTCCCGATACGACCGATACGTTTGAGACATGATGAAACCATTTGATTCTTAAGAGTTATCTCTGTTGCAATTCATGGGTCGGCGGTACGGCACCCAGGTTTCGGTTCCATATTACATGGTGGGAATTATTATTGCTCGGTACACTGCAAGTTTCTTTTTTATGCTCAAGTCATGATTGTAGAAAACCCTGTCTTTTTTAATTTCCAGAATGCTCTTGAGGCGCTGCTAATCCTGTGCTGAGTTTTCAGAGTCTACATATTCCAGTAGTTCATCTCCGATCTTTATAGCATTGTTGTGATCCTCCGGAGTGCACATGATTTTAGTTTTATTGATGTTCAGCTTAAATCCCAAAACCTCATATGCCCATGTATATGTGTTCAACATTTCTTGCAATTGCTGTAACGTATTTGCAACTAGAGCACAGTCATTAGCGTATTGAAGATCTGTGATGAATCTTGTACGTGTTTTTGCCCTGAGTCTTTTTATGTTGAACAGACCGCCGTCGTATCTGTATCTAATGCCCAACCCTCTTTCCTGCAGTTTGCTGTCCACTATAATGTAGAGCGCTGCCATGAATATAATGAATAGGAGAAGCGCTAAGACACATCCCTGACTAAGAACTATTAGAACTATACTTTATTTGTTATAAATATTCTTTCATTTTTATCCATATTTATATATTTTTAGAAATATCAGGAAACCAATCCAGGGTCATCAAAAAAATGATTCAATTACCAGCACCAGCAGCAGTAACAGTTCTCAGTTCTACTGTGACGTGGACAGTGTTCCAAGCTCGCCACATGACAGTATAGATAGAAAGCTGAGTCCTAGTCAAATGTCAAATTCAAGTAGTAATTCTTCGTTACCTAGTCTCGATGTTAGTCTGAACAGTTCTCATTCAGGTAAGCTTAAAAAAATAATACAAATCAGACGTTTATTTTGCTCTGTATTTTAATAGCTTAAATATATTTTTTGTGATTTTAGGTAGTGCCAACAATAGATTACAAGTGCCTTCTTTAAATAACTCAGGGACATTGAGTAATCATTCTCAGAAGAGCAGTCCAGATTTTTATATAATTAAGGTAAGAATTTCAAGTACTTAAATATTTTCGTATATAATATGTCTGTCTTGTAGTTAGTCTGTGATTGTGCTAAATTATAGTAATACTCCACAAAGAAACACACATAATTTATATTCTGTTTATAGGTAACATATGAGACAGATAATCGGGAAACGGAGGGTATAGTGTTGTACAAAAGTATAATGCTAAGCAACAATGAAAGAACACCTCAAGTAATACGAAATGCAATGTACAAATTAGGTCTAGAAGGAAATCCGGATCAGTATACACTAGCACAAGTTTTACCAGAAAAAGGTAAGTTTCTTTCCTATTCAGCCTTTTCCTAAATTCGTTTTTTATTTTTTTATCTAACTTCAAAAGTAACGAATATTTTGTATAAAGTATAAAATGTTTCCTTGTTAAGACTAAATTTTCATTTCCTATACAGGTTGTTAACTGGACAGTTACTTATAGGGGAACAGAATGGCAACACTGCCATTGCTCAGAAATGCAATGAGAACGCATGCACTTATAGGGTTTTCTGCCGACTCGTCCCGTCGCGTCCAAGAACGGTAAACTAATAGGATTGCTCATCCTCATAAGACGTACGTTCGCCTCTTCCCGCGCTTCAGCTGACAGATGTGACGTCATTGTAGCCCTTGTCAAAGCCTTCGTGGCCTTGTCATGATAGTGTGTATTATTAGTTGCCTATGGTAAACTTATAAAAATAACAGCTGACAAATTTTGAGTTAATTATTTTGTCAATTTTAAATGTGAAAAAGGTGTCTTTAAAGTTTTTAGAGCTACAGAGTGTATAAATACGTTCATTTTGTGTTGTAGATTGTGATTGTGACAAAGTGCATACTAAGTGCCCCCGATTTTGTTTATTAATTATTTTAAAGCAAAATATGGAAGTACTCTAAAAAGAATGCTTGCAAAAGGTGATGCTGGGAACTGCTGTTCTTAAAAATGCATTATCCGAGTATTTAATACGATTTATACAGTTAATTTTCTATACTGCATACATATAAGGTGTTTAAATAAATAAACTAAATAATGAACGTTTTGCATTCGGTAACCAATAATGCACGTGTGTGTATTATTGGTTGCCGGATAAGGACTAATAACCATGACAAGGGCTACAATGACGTCACAAAGCGAGTAGTTTTCGCATGCACCTGGCGGACACTTTTGGCTGAATGAGCAGTCCTATTAGATTAACTGTTCTTGCGTCGCGTCGTCTGTCGACGAGCGGGCCGAGGTTGCCATATTTCAACCATAAAGCTCTTGCCGCGAGTAATAAACAAATTAACAACCTGTACAGACATAATATGATTAATTTACAGATCATGATTACCTGTAATTTTATTTTTATTTCAGAAATGCTTTTGCCGCCAAACTCCAACGTTTACTACGCAGTCAATACAGCACACAATCTTAACTTCATTTTGAGACCAAAAAAACTCAGTGATGCCAACTCGTCGGGCAAGTATTTGAAAGGGAAGTCGAAGTCATAACAAACCCTGACATGGGATGCTTTTTAGTAAGAGTTTAACCTGAACCAGCTGTTAAAAAGTATCTTCATTACTACTTAAGCTTAAAGTAAATTTTACCAATTTAAAGTAAGCGTAACAAATATGTATAACAACTGTGATAAACGATCATGCTGTTAGATACTCTGTAATCATCACAATGTTTATTTTAATTATTTATTTTATATATTTTTTTACCAACCTAGATTTAAATTAAATATTTTTTTTAATCGGGACTAAAAAGAATCATTGTAAATTTACAATATGGTTTTGTCCGGATTTTTTAAGTAGCTTGTTTTTAAGCGTTTATATACATATATAACAAAATGCACACAGCCAACTGGTGCTAAAAGAATTATTAAATATAGAGTAAACATCTACATAGTTGTTTAAAAAAATATACAATTTTTAGTAGTTAAGTAAATTATTTAAATAACTTGTTTTTGAAGTAATTTTTAATAATAACAATATTAAGACCCTGCATATTATAAAATGTCAATATTAATAATTAATATAGATATTTTTTAACCAGTGTAAGTATATATTTCTTAAAATCTTTATGCAATTACCAATCCAAAACAAACTACAATAACAGTAATGATGAATTTTGAGAAATTTGTATATTTACGGTTAATTTAATTAAACGACACGAGTTGTATAGACTAATTAGTGTAGATATTAATTTCATATATTGTATAAACGTATTTATATAAGAAAAATGTATGCGGTATTAATATTTTTAGAAGCTTTACTTTGGTGTAATCTAAACAAAAATTGTAATTATTGTTAACCAAAGATAAATACTATAAGAATCATCTACGTCAAATTATATAGTTGAACTTGTCCAAAAATATACCTGTTTCAATATTCTATATTTTTCCAATGCTCAATTTTGCCTTCTGTAAAGATCTGAATAAAACAAGTTCGTTCGTGTGTGGAACTGTAGAATTTAATAATACTCTTATCGAGTGCTTTATATGTGCATTAGATCGTCATGTTAAGTAATTTACCTGCATTGTATAGATATAGATGATAGAGGAAATTTTGTAAGAATTCGTCCCATTTGTTGTACTGTATTTTTCTAATAAAAGACTAAATAAATCTAAAATAGATAGTTTCATTATTTTTCCCTTCTATAAAATTGTTATACGCGCCGGTGCTGCCACCATCGGAGAATATCGTAAATAACTAATATATACAAACACACCGGTTTAAATAGCGAGTATACGTAAAATTTATTATAATTATACATATAATTATTCTAAAAGTTGTTAGGAAGTAAACATAAATTGTGAAAATTCTCAAAATAAAAATAAAAAAGTAAATATTTTGACATTTTCAGAAGGTGTAACTTGTATTATAATTTATCTATTATTATATATTATGGAGAAGAATTGTAAAGTCAGTTAAGAGCGACAACCAAAAAGTAATGAGGCAACAAAGCAATGAGATTTTTGTCTGGAGTGCGGTAGGCGTATAACATCACGTATCGGGCTTTTCAGTCACAGAAAAGCTCATGAAAGAAAACGCCTTGCGTGACCATCTTCTGATGCGTGTCAAATACTCGTCAGCGAGTAATGGCGGTATGTATGTATACTGCTGGATCTGTATCTATGAAAGGAATTTCAAAAACGCAGTCACAATATTGGAGTGTGATCAATTTACTACAAAACACATTTAAATAAACAGCAATATATTTTATAGATCGTTACCTATATACACTCGGCAGAGAGTCCAGTGTGGACTTGACGAGTATGTCACTCATTACATTACTCAGACGGGACGCATCGTCAATTTTTTTACGAGAAAGATCGATTAAAACGGTAGTAGACCGAGCTTGGAGAATAGTGTAGTCGTTATCGGTAAAATAGTTGCCTGATTTTATTAATTTTGGGTTTTCTTTTTAATTTTCTAATTTTTATAAAGATTATGTCTCATTAAAACTGTCTCGTTTAAAACTGTTTGGGTATTTTTGAAATTTTTGAATTTTTTTTTGTAGTAGGTTGTAGTAGGTATTTTGTATTGTAGTAGGTAATTATATTTAAAATATTTATTAGTGATGGGAAAAACCAATTAATTTTAATAATCGAGTACTCGAATTTCAAGCTATTGCAATAACCGAGTGATCGCTCGAGCGAAATATCACTCGTATTTAAAAATACGGTTTTTCGCCCGTCGCTTGTTGTAAGTATGGGGACATACGCAGGGCACATATTCTTTCGGTGATGAATGGCAAGTAGCAAGCGACGAGCGACTCGTTTGATCGCTTGATTTAGTTTACTTCAAAGCATTGTAGGTCGTAAAATTTTGTCCCTCAGATACGCAACGGATAAATATATATACGGCGTCGTATAAATTTGCTACCTGCAATGTATGTAGAAAATTCGCTCGGTTTTTTATCGAGTATATCAAATTAAAATCGGATTTCAATTTATTTCATTCTTTTTCGCTTACGTCGTCACTCGTCACTTGTATCGCTCGTTCATAATCGAGCGATATCGGTTACTTCAATAATAATCGAGCTAATTTTCGCTATCATTTCGCCATCACTAATATTTAGAGCACGCCCATGAATTGCTTGCTAACAGAAAATTTTGTTTCTCCTCTTATAATTTAGATGACCTACCCTACTTTTCAGTAGATGTTGCTTTGGCTATTGATTATCGAATATGCTGAAGAATAGAAATCAATACTTGGTAAAACTATATAGTTGTCAATGCTGTCATTAGATGTCACATTAGTATTTCTTTAGATATGCAACTAAATATTCATGATCTCTATAATTTTAGCGCTCATTTAAAATGAATTACATATAATATCGGTTGTCCAACAATTATATTGTCTAAATTTTTGCAATATAATTGTGGTTTATACTACTCAGATTGTCGATAGTTTAAAACTAAATTTCAACGGTACCGAATGTTCAATATTCCAAAGGATAAAATCGATATCTGTTTGAAATATTTAAATCTCGTTCACCATTCAGGCTGTTGGTGACAGCTGTTGGGCGGAAAACTAACGAAAAACTCCATTTCCATCTTTCAATTATTGAGAATAGCTATTCCCTTAATTGAGCTTTATTGACGTTGTCCGATACAAAAAAAACAGTTGGCATTGCCTGAGTGATAGCAGGCGTTTAGAGGAAGTTGGTAAATTATTTAAATGTCATTGTCACTGAGAATTTTGTTGACTATATTTTTTTAAATATTTCTTTAAAAACATGCGAAAGTTGAGTTACAAAATAGTTTTTTAATAACAATATACTATATATTTATTAGTTTCGTAAGCAAATCATTATTTAATAGTTTGCTATTGTTGTTATTCATTTTATGCGGGTAAATTATTTCTAAAAATAAAAAATAGTGCGTATGAGAAAATCATAATATATTTTATTATGAGACACTTTTCTTCTTCTCAACCTACTAAAAGACTAACATTAGAAATAATTATTTATAGATAACACATATTCAATTAAATTTAAACTGAAATTGGATTATGTCATAAAATTTCTTGCAAAAACCTTTTTAGTAACAGGGAGGTTTTTAAAAGTAACAATAACCGAGAATCTTCTTCTGCTTGTAATAGGACGAGACATGAAATAATCTATATAAGAAGTGTCAGCTCAATGTTAAATCATGGAAACCAACTTGATAGAAACAATGTGGCGGCCTGGGTAATTTTCAGACATGGCGGCTGTGTGACATTTGACAATTTCAATTTTATTAAATTTATTTCCGTTTCCGGCTTTTAATGGCGGGCTCCCCATTAGGTTTAAATTAGGTTTAATATACTTTTTACTCTTTCTAGGAGTAAATAATACAACAAAATTGCTCAAACATATTTATTTGAAATTTAGAACAATGTAAATATGTAAATCAACACAATTAAGGAGATATAAACATATAAACTACTGTATCAATATCAAATATTTAAATAATACCAGAGATGCTGTCTTAAAGTGAATTAGTAAAGCAACAGCGCATTGACTTACAGAAACTTGAAAATAAATAAATGTTTTCGCAGCTTCATGGGCGTCAAACTAAATAATGGAAGCAGGAAAAAGAAAACAAAAACACACACAAAACCTGGAATCAACAAAAAAAAAATTATGTAAAAAACATAAATATAGGTACATAAGACTTTTGTGAATTAAATCAAACAGGACTTGCTCTATTAAAATACATAATAGGTATCTATGTGGTATGTAATTGCGCATTTATATTTTTATATATAGTATGTTATTGCTGCCTTAAATTTATACAGGGGTACCAAAAATTAGTTATTTATTTTAAGGATTTATTTTACATAAAAACTTTGTTATTTCAAATGCAACACCCTGTATTTTTTAAATGAATTGAAGCAGCTTAAAATGCTCTTTCAAACTATATTAGGGTTTCCTATCTCAGATTTTGAATAAAAAGCGATTTTTAAATAAAATGGCAATCAAGATGGCTGGTAACGCCATGGCAATTTTCTAGTGACAGTTAGTAACTATTTTCAAAATCCTTGCCACATGCCTCGGAAGCTGACATATAGACAAAAGAAGAAGACGCCGTCGTGCATAGAAATGTTCCGTAACAGAAATTGACAAAAATATTTAGATTTTTATCTAGGACAGTCTAGAAGGCCATGCTTTCTGTCTGGGTAGGACAGCGCCAGGACTGTTTGCAATTATTCTGTTTACTGTCACCTCCCTGGAACCAAGGTCCTGTCAATTCTGTCAATTATTGCCTTCTTGTGATGTTGACGTCCAGCTGTCATACCAACGCTTTGGGAGTCTACCAACTGGGCGTCTTGTTTTGGCCCACTTGGCAATTCGATCTGGACTCATCCTGCCTACGTGGTCTCTCCAATACCGGCGCCTTGCTCTTACCCATCTGACAACGTCCTGGATAATATACTCCCAACTCTCTTAGCATGTCTGTGTTGCATGTTTTGTCAAGCAGTGTAGTCCGTTTTATTGTTCGTAATATTTTCATCTCCGTTGTTCTCATTTGATGTTTCTGCTCTTGTTTTCAGCAGCGTAAATCAGTATGGGTCTTATAAATTCTAGTGCAGTATTGATAATATTCAATGATGTCATCTGATTCTGAATATTCGGAATTTGACATGTAGAAATTATTAAATTGAACAGCTACACTAACTAATTGAAATTGATTCAGAATGAGTTACATCCGTGTGCGTGCAGCAGTTTTACCTTAGTTGTAAACTGGTTGAAGAGTACACTAGTTTGCAACTTTTGCCTCAAAATAGTCTAACCGTGAGCAGTCGGTCTTTAGAGCATATCCTCTTTATTGACGATACCTCTACATCTCTCATTCGACAAAAGGAACGTTGGTAACGAATCTACGAAAACGCACAATGCTCGTAGCGATTTCTTTTACGATCCGTCACATCCGATAAAAAGTGTTCGGCGCCAGATGGTCCCCGACGCGACGGGGGGCGGCTTTATCACGCCGCCCCCGAGGCTGCGGCCTATTACACGTCCGCGGCGGCTGTTCGCTCGCCCACTTGATAACAAACGGGAATTATTGCAGGTACGAGGCGCGAGGCGGCCTCGGTGGCGGCAGAGGGGCGGCGAAGAGCGCGGGGGCGGCGGTGGCAGCGAAGCCCGTATTACCGCGGCACGGCATGATCGCCCGCGATAGCGGAGAGGGCGCAAGGACGATAAAGCAGCTGCAGGCTGCAAATGCATAGCTTTGAAATCAGGTTTATTTCTGTAAACTATACTTTCAAGTAATTTTTGTATCTTCTACCTTTATATTTTTAAAAAGTAAAACTCTAAAGACTAAAAAATTTTCAGAATGAAAAACCATATATAGAGAGGGATAAAACTGAAAAACTGAATGATTGTCCGTTCGTTATAATAATACTCAGACAGCACAGTGACATATTAAAGACATCTATAAAACAACTTGTTACAACATTACTGACATCTCAAAGACGTCTATTTTCACCTTTAGACGTATTAAAGGCATCTTACCAACGTCCGATGTTAAAAAACCCAACATCTTTAAGACAGAGTTAAATTAGTGTAAAATAAGTTAAGTTTTGAGTACAATGTCTTTAAGATATATTTTAACAATGTACTTAAGATGTTTTTTA